ATATATATATATATATATATTTGTATGCTATCCCTTTACTCCAATTATAAAGGAAATACATCCCCGGCACTGCCATTTTACGTCACTCTTTCATCCCTATTTACTGTACTGTGATTGGTCAAGTCGCGTTAAGCTTTCCCACCAATGAAATCTACAGCTGTACAAAGAGATCTACTCCGTCTCTTCGTGTAGCTTCAGCACCATAACTACTGCAATCCCCCGAACAGGAGCGGACGGATATGCAGACACAAAGCATGAGCTTGACGTTAGATCTTGCACCCTTTCGGCCTAATTATTGTGATTGGACCTATGGTATTTGTGATTCGTGGAACGTGGAATAATGAGGATTAAATTACCTGCCTGGTGGCTTTTTTTGTGGTGGCATCATGTTTTTCTCTTGTGGAGTACAATAGATGCACAGACTCGCTACAGCATCCCGGAGGAGCTGAAACCAGGCACGGTGGTAGGAAATCTAGCCAAGGATTTAGGTTTGATTGTTGCTGAACTGTATCGACGAAAATTAAGGATAAGCTCAGAAGCTGGTAGCCAGCATTTTAATGTTGACTTGGGGAAGGGAGAGCTGGTGGTGACTAATAGAATAGACAGAGAGGAACTGTGTGGACAAAGACCGTCATGTCTGTTGCCTTTAGAGCTAGTAATCGACAGCCCCTTACAGCTGCACAGAGTCGAAATCGAAATACAAGATACCAACGATAATCCGCCCAGCTTCCTTACAAAAGAAAAGGTGCTAAAAATTGCAGAGCTGGTGAATCCAGGGGCTCGATTTCCTTTAGAAAGTGCACAGGATCCAGACGTGGGCGTTAATTCTGTGCGCTCATATCTAATAAATAAAAACGAAAATTTCAAATTAACTATTAAAAACCAGAAAGATGGGAGAAAAATCCCTGAACTTATTCTCGAAAAACCTCTGGATCGAGAAAAACAGCCTGTGCATAATCTCATTCTCACCGCTGTAGACGGCGGAGACCCGGTGCGCTCAGGGACTTCTGAAATTAGGATCATTGTTCTTGACAATAATGATAATACACCCCAGTTTGAAAAGCAGGTGTATGAAGCTAACCTCAGTGAGAAGGCAATACCTGGAACAGAAGTGTTGCAAGTTAAAGCCACGGACGCAGACGAAGGACTAAACGGTGAAATAGAATATTTGTTTGGAGACGAAACGACAGATCAAATTTTATCCCTGTTTGAAATTGATCCGTCCACTGGAGCTGTTCTTGTTAAAGGTACGTTAGATCACGAAACAAACCCTGTCCATAGATTCGACATAGTTGCAGAAGACAAAGGAAATCCAAAGATGCGCGGGCATTGTGGCGTTGAAGTTAAAATAGTAGACGTTAACGACAACATTCCTGAAATAATTGTGACCACTCTGACAACACCTGTTCCAGAAGATTCCGCTGTCGGGACAGTTATTGCATTATTAAGTGTCAAAGACTTAGATTCAGGTGACAACGGTAAAGTTTCCCTGACACTTACGTCAGAATTTCCCTTTAAATTAATCCCGTCAGTTTCAAACCATTACTCGCTGGTAACAAATGGGCCACTGGACCGGGAAAAACACCGGCAATGTAGTGTCAAGATAAGTGCTGCTGATTCTGGAAAACCTCCCTTAGTACGTGAAAAAAATATAATTGTTGACTTGTTAGATGTAAATGATAACCCACCGGTTTTCTCCAAACCTTCGTATTCTTTCTATGTAAATGAGAACCACCCACCTGGGAAAATGCTGTACTCAGTATCAGCCTCTGACCTG